TGTGTGTGTGTGTGTGTGTGTGTGTGTGTGTGTGTGTGTGTGTGTGTGCAGGACCCCCTCCTGGTAACTGCTTATCTTAGTGAGTATTCAACTGTATTTTTTTTTTGTGCAGGACCCCACCTGGTAACTGCTTATCTTAGTGCATTGATAAGCTCCCTGCCTGTGCAGGACCCCCTCCAGGTAACTGCTTATCTTAGTGACTAAGCTCCTTGCCTGTGCAGCCCCCCCCCCTCCAGGTAAGTACTTATCTTAGTGACTTTTAAACTGCCTTCTGCTGTGCAGGCCCCCTTCCTGGTAACCACTTAATAGTCACTTTTAAACTCTCTGCTTCTGTGAAGCTCCCCTGTAACTGCCAACTGAAATGCCAGGATTTAGATTTTGATTTCAAAAACCTTGTGCTCTGGACACTCAGTCTGTTGTTACTAGGTGTCCAAATACTTGGGTTTAGTTCTAGCCAGCTGGAATAAAGACTTTCAGTTGGGTATAAATTGTCTTGAATTGTCTTCTCTGGTGGGCCCCTGGTAACTCAGGCTCACAGTTTGCTTACTCAATTTTCCTTTCTCTTCCTCCTTCCTTCCATGGCAAAATATAATTTTTTTTAATAAAAGACTATCAGAATATGAGTCTAAATTTCTACTGCAATGAACATCAGAAGTACGTACGTGTTCATGCTGACCTGTGCCGTTCATGTAGCTGGCTGAGCTGTCTAGTCACTCTGCTTAGTGTTCGTGTTTTATGCCTCCTATTAGGCAACGGCTTTCCCATCCACTTCTGTTTTTCTCTAGTTCACGTATTTGGATAGCTTTCCTTTTGCTTCTTTCTCTTGTTTTGCTTCTTTATGCTTTCACATTAGTTTAGGCTCTCATGGCCTCATCTTTGTGTTGCATGTTGGCTTGCAATGCATCTTTCTCTCTTACCTCCGTTTATTGATTCCTATAAATACCCCTGTTCCAATAACTGAGAACCCAAATTGCTAGACCTGTCCTGTTCCAGTTTAGCTTGGTTTATATGATGATGCCTCTGCTTGTTACCTATGGTTTCTAATGTATAGTTAAGAACTGACTTCTCCCATCCTCTGTTTCAGGGGTTTCAGTTGCAAATGCCTGCAGGATCCAGATGTGGTACATATGTGACATGGTTCCTGGTATCACTCTCTTCTTTTTTCTTGAAAAGCTGGTTTTTGTGTTGGTTTTCTTTTGCTGTCCTTTAACTAATCATAGGGACAAGTGATTTAGAAAGGATCGGGGAGTGTTTCAGAACATGCCAACCCAATGTGCAAAATGCATTTAAAGGGAAAGGATAGACTAATACTTGGTTACTGCTAATTGTCTGGAAAGGTCAATCCAACATTGCCAGAAATTCGGGCCTCTCTACAAGGAAACTTGAGTAGCTTCAGGACAGCAGAGTATGTTTATAAATGCTTTAATAATCTTAGAGCCGGCGCTGCTTCTTTGGAATTGTGTTATTGTCATGTCACTGTATTATGTTACAAAATAAGGGTATGTAGAGCAATTCCTGTTCAATCCAGCTTGGGGCAGGTTTCTTTGGACCACAATTTTGGGTACATTTGTATAAATTAGAGTGAGATAATCTAGGAATTAATAGACCATTATACCTACATAAAAACAACAAAACAGGAGCCTTATCTGGTAACTAAAAATAAATATTGTTGTAAATTTTTTGTTTGTCCTAACTATATGTTTGTATCTTTGGTTTTATGTAATTGTTTTCTGTGATTTAAATGACTTTACTAGATATTGAGTGATGTGCCATGAACAAGCTACCATTCCCTGTATTCATGTCTCTTTAGCAATACAATATTTAGTCAAAATCAAGTGAAGTTCTAGGGCTATAGAGGTTTTATGGTTAAGAACACAACACAGACTGTGGTAACTGGAGTAATTTCATAGCACCCAATCAGGCGGCTCATAACTGCCTGCGGAGCTCCAGTTCTAGCCGGTTCGAATGACCAGCATCCATAGCTCCCTGCAGTCACGTACACATGTCCATCTACCCACATATGCATCATTTTAATATAAGAATTAAGACTTTTGTCTGAACCTAAGTTGAGAGGCATTTTCATGTAGCACACTTTGGTCTTGAGTTTACTCTGTCATCAAGATCCTTCTTCCTGTGTCTCCCAAGTGCTGGGATTATAAACTTTTGCCATCATGCCAGGCAAAATCAGAAAGTAGGAATTACCCACTATCTGAAGCCCTGAGTTTGAGCCAGTACACTGTGGTGATGGGACCTGGGGTGGGGGTGAAGCAAGAAAACATGCCTTATATGGACTGTTTCCGCTGAGGCAAGCCATTTTCTGTGCTGCACTTTTCCTTTCTCATGTTACCCAGCTATAGGATTTTACTTTTTTTTTTTTTTTTTGGTGGTATATATGTATGTGTGGCGTGCATGTGTTTGTGTTTCCATGTGTGTGGTATGTCTATCAGTTGTCGTCCTCATATACTCACTACCTTACTATCAAAATCTCTCCATGAACCCAAAAGCCTCAATTGAGTCTAGTCAGACAGCTTGCTCTGGGCGATCCCTGTTTCTGCCTCCCAAGCACTGGGATTGGAAGTGAGGTGTCAAGCCGACACTAACACTGTGGAGCATTCAGCTTGTGCTAGGGATCCCAACCTGGGCTCTAAAATTTTACCAGAAAGTGCTTTGCCCACTGACTTAGTCGTTAACCCTATATTTATTTACTAGAAGGGAGGGAGGGGAAACAGTGAGGGCGAAGAACATGCACATGGGAGCATAGCTATTTGGTTTTTGTGTTTATATATGGAAGGGCCATAGCAGGGTCTGGGGATCAGAGAACAGGCAGAGGCAATTTTCTCCACCTTGTTCATCTTAGGGATTGAACTCAGCTTGTCATGTTTTGTGGCAGATCTCTTTACCTTTTGAACCAAGGGTTTTTTGTTTTCTTGTGAGACTAAGAATTGAACCTAGGACCATTCACCAAGCATACTAGGCAAACGATCTACTAGTGACTGAGCTATTTGCATCCAAGTCCATTAGAGCTTAAGAAGGCTAGGTAAGTGTTCCGTGAGACATGTCCTTAAGCCCTCTTTTTAAGTTGCATTCCCTCCAAATGTTAATAGTTGACACCTCAATGTGGCAGTTAAGAATGGCCCAGTGTCTGACAGGAGGGAGACATAACCCTGCAGCCTGCGGAGGTCTCTTTACACTTAGAGAATGTTATGCAGATAACTTGGATGATTGATTTTTTTTTTTTCGGTGTGAGCATGGTGAGGCTTAGCACGCTTATTACGTGGGGAGGACAAGGACGGTATACATAATCTCAAATCTTCTTGAGTTGAACTTAGATGTATTTACAGTTTCTTTGTATATGGTCCTGCGGCTTTTAAATTACATGTCCCAAAGGATTTCAATAAAAATTAAAGATTGATCAAAGCTTAAATTTTCATGTTTAAAAGTTTAGTAAAAGTAGTTGAGTTGCTGTACTTGTTTTATACCTTTGAGGATTTTCTTTTGTGAGTAAAATTATAAAAGGGTTTTATTAGATAAAACTGAAAGTTGCAAACATTCGGCAAGCATAGTTTGTTCATTCTTTGTCAGATCATTTTTGAGATGAAGTTGGACTTTATTGGCTGTGTTGAAGTCTTTGACTATTAGTCAGTCCCTTTCTCACCCCCTTGCCCTGCTCCCCAATACAGGGTTTATCTGTGTAACAACGCTGGCTGTCCTGGAACCCCGCCTGCATCTGCCTCCTGAATGCCCCTATTAAAGCTATGTGCCCCCACCTCCACCCCCGCCTTCTTTCCTTTCTTATACCCCTTAATTTTTTTCTCTTTTTGTCCTGTCTCACCCATAAATATTTTACAATATTACCTAAAGGTTTTATAGTTCCAGATGATAATCTTTAGATCATTGCCAGAAACAGTATTTCTGTTTATCTTTATGGCCTTTTATACTAATGGTTTGCCTAGATTCTGCTTCTAAAAGTTTGAATATAAATCCCTCATACCCTTTATTTTAAGAAAACTTTTCTACTTTGCTTTTGTCAGCATTTTCCTGATTCTTTGCTTTCTGCTTCACATTTTCCAGTAATGAGGGGGAAAATACCTCCATTTACCTCATCTATTTCTGGCTTGATCTTTTCGCTTTGGGTTATATGATATGCGCGCTCTGTTTTCTTTTGATTTGCTGCTGAAATGCCTTCATGGACTTTATGCTGAGTAGGAATTTTGTGCAATTCTGATTTTCCTTTAAAAATGTAAAAAAAAGTGAGTTTTTGTCTTTGTTTTTGTTTTTTTAGCCAGGCATAGATGCAAAGACCTTTAATTCCAGCCCTTAAGAGGTAGAGACCTGTGGATATTTGTGAGTTTGAGACCAGCCTGGGCTGCTGTAGAGAGACCCTGTCCCAAAAAGAAAAGGGCGGGGGGGGGGGGCGCTAGTGCTTAAGTAACCTAAACCAACATAGGCCAGTACTGATTTTACGTATAGGCTGTCTCGCATAGTCACCTGACTCTAAATGCATAAAACCGTGTAACACTTTGCATTCCAAAATTTTTGACATATTGGTTAGTTTAAAAGAATGATACATGACCTAAGTTCATAATCAGTAGAATACTGGTTGTGATAGGATAATCAGTGTCAGGTTTACAAAATTTATAATACACGCATAATACATGGGTGTATTAATACCATTGAACTGCTTTCATAAAATGGTTAAGAGAGTTAAGATGTAAATAGTATTAGGCTTGGCTTCACTACTCAGGTCCTACCTTGTCAAATGCCTCTGCTCCACTCTCACCCCCCCAAAAAAAAATAGAATAAAAGGGATGGATGGGTTTTAATATAAGTTGCCATTCAATGAAATAAAAATTGAATTTAGGATTGAAATTTATTCTGTATTTAGGTACTAACATGAAAATAACAGGTTAGGTCATCCATAAATGAACTATTTTTGGAGAGCACTTCGATTTTTCTAGTTAACATATAAAGTATTGGAATTTATTGCACCATTTTCCCACATACATTTTTTTTCTTTTAAAGAAATTAGAAAGAAATCAATGTGGGGAAATGAACTTATTTACAGATTTGCCAAACGAGGGAGATCAACACACCTACATTCTCTCCACCTTTTCTATGGTGTTGATACATTTCTATGGAACAAATCATAAAAACGGGTGTCCGGGGCCCACTCTCCCCAGCATTGCTTTGTAATATCACCAGCATTCAGTCAGGTGGCGTTTAAGTCCAGCCTAGGTTACATAGGGAGGCCTACAATTAATCCTTAAGACCTTGTTTCAAAAAGAGCCCCTCACCAATAAAAAAAGAAGAAAGGGTAGCAACAAAAATCATTAAGATGTGCATACATTGGTTGAAATTTTATCCGAACTGTGAGATCTCTTCCTGGTGGCTGTTTTTAATTGTCTAGCACAAGGCCTTCAACCTTACTCTCTGGCTCAGCATGAGATTCCTCAGGAAATTTCAATTCTTCAGGGATGGTGATAGTCTAAATCATAGTTTAGATATCTCCAGGGCCTTTGGAACACTGGTCCTAATGATGCTGATCTCAGTTCTGATTCTATTGGGTTGCACTGAATTTCTTATCAAGTCCTTATTGCTTAACCTTCAATTTAGAAAGGACTGTTGATTCATTCTTTGAGTCACTGCTTAAGGTGATGTTGTCACGGGAACAAAGACCTGAGACAGACTTTCAGGCTCCTTTCAGGGTCTGGCACAGTTGACAATGAGATTCCGTAGTCCTATCTTTCTTTGTGCTTTTAGTCCTGAAGATAAGATAGGTTAGGTGGCTCCAGTTTTTAGATAGATTTGCATGATTAACATCAGCCACCCAACCCATAAAGAAGGAAATAGAAACTAAAGGAGAGATTTCAAGCTTCTGTCCTTGTTTTGTGACCTTCTGAATTAAGGTGAGGAGAGGAGCCTCTCCTTTTAGCAAAACAAATTCTACGTACTTGTTATCAAAGAACAATGTATGATATTTCATTAAATAGAATCAATATATTAGTACATGCATTGGTGAACATAGAGAAAAGCAGACACATAAATAAAAAATAAAATTGTTTTGAAAAAATAGCGCATATTTTCAGTCTGCTTCTATGAGATTGTCAAATCTTGGAGTTAGACTATTTCAGCTGCCACATGGGT